CCCCCCCCCCCACCCCAAGTTGAGAGAGCAAATTTTCACTTGAATTTAAGCTATTGGCTTTTGATACATTTAGACTGCTTTGGTGGAGTGAGGATGGGTAGAGGAAACTGATGGAAGAGAATGGTAGTGCTCACTCTTCCACAGAGTTGTCTATCTCTAACTCCTTCCCAAATTATGTTTCCAGTGGCTGTAGAACCCTCAAATGCTAAATGTGTCTAAATTGAAAATAGTAAGAGATGTTGACCAGAGAATAGAGATAATGTGCACCTTGACACAATGTTTGCAGTTTCACAATTACATTGTTCCAATATTAAATATGATTTTTATGAAATGTGAGAGAAATGTAAATTCATTCAGATTGCAATTGAAAAGACTTAGAAAATTCATGCTAATATGCTGGCCCTTATTAGCATGTACCCTTTTCTCCTCCCCATCCATTACTTCTCTTTCCTATCTAAGAACTGCCATGAACTGTGAAAAGAGACATTCATGTTTGAACAATGCTACAGCTGGGTCAAAAATGAGTCAAAAACAGTGCCTGGATCAGTCATAAAATGTGAATAATATAAGATTTCTTAGCTGTATACTCCCTAGGCCATGAGACAAGAAAATGAGTTTCTGGAGCTGAATATGTAGCTCAGTAGGTAGAGTGCTTGCCTAGACTGTTTGAGGCCATGGGTTCTATCCACAACATTGATATCCACAGTGTGATGGCACCTCACACTGAGGTTACCATGCTCTTAACCTCAGCACTTGGGTGCTGAAAGTAGGAGAATCAGAAGTTCAAGGTTGTCTTCAGTTTCCTAATGGGTTAATGGCTACCCTGGGTTACATCAAATCCTGTTTGAAAGTAGAGAGAGAGATAGAAAGAGAGGGAGGTGAAAGAAGTGGAGGAAGAGGAGGAGGAGGAGAGAAAAAGGAAGGAAGAAGAAAGGAAGGAAGGAAGGAAGGAAGGAAGGAAGGAAGGAAGGAAGGAAGGAAGGAAAGAAAAAGAAAGAAAGAAAGAAAGAAAGAAAGAAAGAAAGAAAGAAAGAAAGAAAGAAAGAAAATTAAAGTTCTGGGGTTGGAGAGAAGGCTCAGTATTTAAAAGCAAGCACTTACTGCTCTTGCAGAGGGCCTGGGTACAATTCCCAGCACACACATGGCAGCCAACGACCAACTGTAACTCCAGTTCCAAGGGATCTGATGCCTTCCTCTGACCTCCTCAGGCACTGCACAACTCGGGTGCACTTACACACATGCAGTCAATATACTCATACACATAAAATAAAAATAATAATGTTTTTTTTAAAAAAGAGAAGGGGAGTTCCCATAATCACAGCACCAATCTGGATAGGTTTGAAAAGGAATCAGATTAACAAGCAGAGGAGCAGTAAGTTTGCTCACAGTAGGAGTGGAAGGACAGACATGCCTACAGCAGATTCTTGTCAAAAATAAGTGGCGATTGGATTTCAGGGAGAGGCAGAAGTTCATTAACTAGAGAATGATTCAGAAGGCACTGTGGGAAGGCAGGTAGAGCATAATCAAAATCAAATGATTTCCATCTGAAGGAAAACATTAAATTCTAGCATATATGGCACATATTTTAGGTACAAAATGTGTCCCCATCAGAGGATATGGAGGAAGCAGAGGGCAGAGTTCTGCAATCAGACCAAGCTAAGTAACTGCCCAGGGTCTACCAGCTCTGAGTGAAAATGCAACACTAACAGACTCTATCTTTGGGGGATTATATAAGCATTGTATAATATTTAGGGTGATCCAGAGAAAGTGTTAGTGTAGTGTTTGACTAAAAACTTTCAGTACACTTTATTTTTTAAAAAATCATGGTCCAAGACCAATGTCTAGAGTATATTCTACTAAGCAGTAACAACTTAAGTCACAAACGCATGAGTAGGAAAAGTTTGAAACTTCATTATAGTGTCCACAAGGCTTTTCAGCTTCTGGTTCGACTGAGTGTAAGGGAGAATTTAGGAACAAGAATGGTATGGGATACAGAGATCTCTATTTCACATAAATGTAGCTGAGGTAACCTGAGAGAAAGTCAAAGTTAAATGAACTATTGGGAGACAAAAACTGCCTGGAGTTGTTCCTGTTCCTGTGAGTTATGTGTATATACACAGACGTGGGTACATCCATATAAGCAAAGTGTTGGCAAGAAGATCAGTTGGCCAAAGATAAAACTGAGACATACATCAATATCTAAACTTCAGGCAGAAATAGAGAACAAAGAGGTAGAAGGCATCATCATACTAGAAGAGAAGGTTATGTAAAGTTTTCACGAAGTATGCATTATAAATAGCAGTGTATGCAAAAACAATAAGATGTTGGCTCACAAATGACATATAGGTTTGACTAATTTCATGATAAGCCGTAACTTCTGTCCTGTCCTCTGCTACTGTGATCACATTCATTGCTCTTCTCTGTTTATTAGTTTACTATCTTCAAGATCTGCCTAGAATGGTGCTGAGATTCTAGACATTCGGTTGGCTAATGCCTTTTGGCCTAAGGAGTCTGTAGTTGAGTGATCTTCTATCCAGTGTGTTGTATCTCCATGTGGGGCAGTGCATTTTATTCATTTTAACAGCCTTGCAGCATTCAATAAACACATATATCTCCTCCACAGAGAAAGGGTTTTCCCCCCTATTATTTTTAACAGTCTTAATATTTGCATTTACATTTAGTTTGTATTATATTTAATATATGTATAATGATCAAGTCAAGGTAATTTTCATTTCTCACCCTTCAATTGTCATCATTTCTAGAGTGTTAGAAACCTCCAAACTCTTCTCTGGATATTTTGAAACATATCATTAATTGCCACATGCTATCCATATCACATTATATGATATTAGACCATGCCCCCTTCTGTGTTCTGGCTCTCCTTGTGTGCTTTTTTACTGCCCCATACTGCCTGTACTTCCGGCCTCCTGTATATGACTTTCTACTTCTTTGTGACCATCTTTTTATTTTTATAAAAGAATGACAACATGTGGTTATGACTTCCCATGCTTGTCTTATTTCACTTATAATGTCTTCCATTTCTAACCACATTATCACAAGGAACAAGATTTAATTCCATTTGGAACTGTGTACCATTCCATTGCACATACATAACATATTAAAAATATACTCATTCATCGTTGGACATCTCAGTTGAATCCATGTCTATGAATAGTTCTGCACTAAGTATGAGCACATAGGATCTTTTGATATAGAGGTTCCATTTCCTTCAAATACATACCCCATAGTGGGATTGTGGGGTGACAGTTTGATGGTGTTGGTGGTAAAAGAGTTGATAGAATACTAAGCCTGAAAATTGGATTTTAATGAGGTTGTAATTAGAAGGTGAAGGAATGGAAGCAGTGCTCTGTGCTTACCTGAAGCAATATAACAAAAACTTACAGTGAATCACACTGGAGATATTGAAGAAAGGTACAAAAGCATGAGTTATGATTAGGACATGATGAGACCTAGCCGGAAGTTTGAGGGAAACAAGAGCGTAAACTGTAAGTTAAGAGATTATTGGTAAATTGCTTGTAGTTCAATCTACCGAAATTAATTAAATTTCCTAGAAAGATCATACACAGCGAAGGGAAATGATGTCCTA